AACTTTCTAAGAAGTGACAAAAGTTATCCACATTCGAAATGGGGACAAAATCTGTGTAGAATGCAGGATTTTAATTTCGAATCCCTGAAGTTTCGAAGAATTAGCAGAATTTACCAAGTTTCACAATTGGGCTGAAAATTATGAGAAATGGAGCGTATCAGGTCCCTGTAGTTTATGCGAATTGACACTTTATGCCCAGTTTTGCAATTCGGGTAAAGTTTCGCATTTGAAGTTGTTTTTGGCACAACGAGTCCCTGTTGAATTCTAATATTGGCAGTTTTACCCGGATTTTCGAAATTCTTGCAACTCTCACCCAAAAGTGGAAATTTTTCACAAAAATTGGAAAATTTTCATGACTTTTTCGTGATTGTTTTTCATGCAAGTTTTTCGCGGTTTCATTTTTGGCACACATCGAGGGGGCAATTTGTGAAGTTTATTCCTCGGGCGCTTCTCAACATTAGTGAGTTTTATAATCACTTGTTGATTATAAAAGGGGGAGAATGTAGAGTGGGTATTCGAAGCTTCTCGGGTATTCATTTGCGGATTTGAAGACCGATATTACTTCGAGGGGGAGTTAGTCTTGATCGTGCGAGCTCGTTGGATATTGAAGCCAAGACATCCAATCCTAACTTTAAGGGGGATAATGTTTGGGTGCAAATTCATTCTTGGATGTCATGTGTGCTTACCCTTTTATTTGTGTGTAATGAGTTGTCTTTCCTACAAATAGGAAGTGAGTGATACTCATTTTATGTAAGAACTTGTGAGAGATTAGCCTAGTGAAAGAAATATTGCATGACCCACTTTGTAATACTTTCTAGACTAATGAGAGCTTAAAACGAGATTATTTACATCCTTGTGTTCTTCATGTTCATGATTCTTGCATGATTCACTAAATCATTTCATATTCCGCATTCGTCATCATAATCAGGATCACTACAGAAATATGGTTATAAGACATAGCCAATTATTACACTATAATGATGTCACCATTTGTTTTTGGTGGAACCATTGCCAAGATTTCTGCTCCTTGGACCCTGCAAGGGGTGATGCACCTAGACCAGGTGCTGCCCCTTGGAACCCTGTACCTAGGGGTGCTTCCCTCGGACCTACGTATTCCCGAGTTTACATTTATTGCTCCGAGTGTGCACCCCGAACCTCCTGTTTCAGTGAGTAAATGGAGCTCAACTGTCACACCCCGCTAAAGCGGAAACACAGAGCGTGGCAGTACAAAGGGTTTCATCGCAAAAGTTAAAAGACAACACCAACCATAGTATTAAAAATCATTACAAATTCACAATGGGTTTGAACAACTTTTAAAAGAAATTACAATGTAAATTGAAATACAACACATGCGAATGCTCCTAAAAGTGAAGTGTCCCTAAGTGCCACTTACTCGATGATTCCTGAAAAAGCATGTAAAACGAGCGTCAACTATAAAAATAGTTGGTGAGTACTCACAGATAAACAAAATAATACTGGTTCCATGAATTGAAATCAAAGTTTTGATAAAAGTTTCCAATAATAAAAGTATATTGTTAAAATGAGTAAATAAGTTTGTAAAAACAAAGTTCTTTGTCATCATGAGAGATAAGGTATGTTGCCCAAATAAGATGCAACATTCATATTCTCATGGAAGATAAAGTTCGTTACTCAAACGAGTAAACAAGTTTCATTGCTAAAATAAGCAATCAATTTCGTTGCTACAAGGAGCAAACAATTTCATTGCTAAAACATGTATATAAGTTTTCAGTAATAAAAGTTCGTTGTTGTAATGAGAAACAAAGTTCATTGCTATAATTAATGAGAAGTTTATTGCTATAACGAGAAACGAGTTTGTATGTGTATGAGCAAACAATGAGTCTCAACCAAACCTATGACTGAAGCCCTATCAAGATCTATGCTTATCGTTCCATAGATGAATATGGTATCATGCACTCCAGCAATAGGGCGAGTGAGGAGTTGTCAATTCCTAATAGCGCTATCCATAATGACCATTGGCTCAAAGAGTTAATGGTTAGAGATAAGGGAAGGGCCTTAGTACGATAAGTTCTCATGTTCCGTGTTGCATAGACATACATAGAGAGACATAGCAATAAAATAGCAATCATGTTTGATACAAATCAATTTAAATACAACATTCAAATAATAGTTTTTCGGGACATGCTTTTCCACCCCAAAACATAAAAACTGAAAATAGGGGAGTGCGTGAATACTCACAATGCATTTAGATGATGCAAATGGTGCCTTGAACTACGTTCCACGTGTACCACTACCGATTCCTACAATAATGGTATTCACTAGTGAGTCTCTAGTCGAAATCTAACACTAGTATACTTACTACTATAATAGAATTATGCCAATAATGTGTCAAAATTTAATATTGATAAGTTACAAACATTTTTCTGTGGAAATTAAGTTTCAAAGAATCAATTGTTATATAACAATTTAAGTGGAAAATTTGCATTATTGAAATGTTAATATTTAACATTTTAGAGGTGTTCCAATGATTAAATATTCAAAACTAAATCAATTTAGTTCTAAACTTTCCCAAACTTTGCATTTAAGTTTTAATTGAAGTCAAAGACCTTAAGATAAATTTTCTTGAATTTTTTATTTGTCTGGCTATTTTTCACGATTTTAGTTTCTTGAATAACCATAAAATCATGAAAAATACTAAACAGTTAATAAAAATTACCAAACTTCAGATCTTGGTTCTAAATGTACTAAAAGACTTCTAGATAAATTTTCATGGATTATGAATATGTATAACCATTTTTCACATATTTAATTCTCTAAATAGATACAAATTCATGAAAAATAGAAATCAGTTATGAAAATACCCCAAACTTTTTATAACAATGTCATTATACATACTTAAGCTGGAAAAAATATAAAAATGAGTTTCTAAACTGTTTAACCCAAATTTTATGATTTTTATGCATTTATTCTAATAAAAATGGGGATAAATAGAAAACAGTTTCCAAAATTACCCAAACTTTTTGTGATATTGTTATTAAACATTCTTAAGTTGGGAAAAATATAAAAATTGATTTCTAAACTGTTTAACCCAATTTTATGATTTTTATGCATTTATTCTAATAAAAATGGGGATAAATAGAAAACAGTTTCCAAAATTGCCCAAAATTTTTGTAACACTTTTATTATACATGTAGAAGCTGTGAAAATTATTATATAACCTTTTCAAGTTATCTAAAGCCGTTTTATGATTTATTGGGGCTAAACAAAAGAAAATTCAAAACCATATTAAACAGTAACAAAAATCGATGAAACTTAATGAGGGATCATTATTTAGCATAGGGGTCGTCCACGAATTTAACTAGGATTTATAGACCCCAGAAAGTATTTTATATGATTTATTGCCCTATTTTCTTGCATTAATTATAATAATTCTAGAAAAATGAATTATTTTCTGGAAGTTTACAGATCATCTTATTTTGTTGATGGGAATCTAGGAAAAATCGGATTTGGTCAGAAAAGGAGTTTTAGATATTTATTTGGAAATAAATCCTTCATGAACATATTTGAAAGCTTTTAACAACATACTTTGATGATCTAGCATATAAGCTTGAAGATCATCACATGCATGTTGTGTTGAAGACCATTCATGAGTTTGAAATGTTCAAAAATCGTTTTTGATAGAAAACTTAGGGTGCATGTGGTGATTTTTACCCAAAACTTGTAGAAAAGTGCATTATGTTGATTTTGACTTAGGTTTTGATCCTTGGATTTCACCATTAACAACATGCATGTTGTTTTTGGGTGAAATCCTACCACCATCATCATCAAAACCATGAGTTTGTGTATGTGTATGTTTATGTGTTCATGATCTTTCATTAGAATGGAGTAGAAGATGGAGAAAGTCCATGAAAAACAAGTAAAACTTGAAGGAAAAGAGAAGGAAAATGAATGATTTTCGGGTTTACCTTTAAGAACACCTCAAGATGATTAAGATTTAGAGTTCATGGTGTGTTCTATGACCCATTTTCTAGAGAATTTCGTGGTTGAGGGAGAGAGGAAGAGAGAATAGAGAGAAAATGAAGTGAGGGAGTGTGAGAGAGAAAGAGATGGAGTGGGTGAGTGAAATTGATTAATGACTTGGGAAAATGGTGTATTGGGGGGGGGGGGGGGATGAGTCCGATTTTTGGGAGGAGGAGAGAGGATTTCTCTCTCATAAATCCCATTCAAATCATTTCTCCCAATTTTTATGAATTTCTAAAGTTTTTATAAAATATGCTTAAGCTTTACATTGTTTTATAAAATCCTTGATTTTCCACTTATAAAATAAGGATAAATGTTGGTACATTAAACTATAATTTCCTTGATTATATTTCCCAACTTGATTATTTTAAGATAATTTTATAAGTTTCATAAAAAATTTTATATAATTCTTGATGTTAAACTTTATAAAATTTAGGTTTTAGGGTTTTTAAGGTTTTTGGAGTTTAATAAATCTTTGGACATCAAAGTGAATTGTATCTTTGAGACTTAAAATTATTTTATGGTATTATAACTCTTTTATAGTTATAAATAATGTTTGTAACTTATTTTATCGGTTTATTGGCATTCTATGTAGTGGTTTCGAGATTCAAGCGAAATTGAGGAATCAAGTATACTAGTCCTACTCTTCAACTTTGACTTAAGTTTCTATGAGACTTTGACCTAAATTCTACTTCTAGGTCAAGTGCATGATGTGTGTATATGATTCATGAAATGTTGTTCGAGTCAAAGAGTGACCCAAATATGGATAGTCACTACAGCTCAGTAGATGTAGAATTCACATATCAATGTGAAATCTAAGTACACTATCCATTGGTCATACATCAACCATCTCGAGTTTGAGGAAGGTGTTACGTACGTAAATTTTATAGACATATTTATTCTTTGTTTTGTTTTCCCTTTCTCTTTAGGGTTGTGGAGAATCATTCATTCCAATTTTTCCTCTCAATCGCTCACATTATCAAACATTCTAACAACTTCTTATCTAATTATATTGTTATAATTTCAAACACAAAAACACATCTAAACACCATAACCTATAGCTTGTTTATTACAAATAACCATTTTGCAACACCCTTGTGGTAGATGTGTCAAAAGTCTTCCTCATCATATTCATAAACTAAAACTTCAAAAGTTTTGACAACAAAATTAGTTACAGATTTAGACGAGTCCCAAGTTGCAGCCAAGGAATCTTCAAATTATATCTTCTGGGTAAGGAAATGATTCCAATCTGATGATCAAGAAAGGATGATATATGAGAGGATATTAATCAACTCAAACAAAGAATAAATAAAACATGAGATGAGAACAATGGGAACAAGTTATGCTTTTTGGGATTCTATATCCTTTTTATTGATGGCAAGAAAATCCAAATCTAGATGAAGTTCAATTCATAAGAACCACAGTGGCATTATACCGAATCCGATTGATATCAACAAACCATATAAGATCATCCACAATGTAATGAATTTGTCCAAAACCATCAATATCTTGATCATCATCACAATGGTTCTTGTGGTGATCCCGTGTACCTAACTACAAAGATCAAGAACGAACAAGTTAAATTACCAATGGATATCAAGAAAATGGTTAGTAATGTCTTAAAGACTATTAGCAATGGAGAAATTGCATTCTTTTTTCACTTTGCACCCAAACCCAAGAAATCCAACACATTGGCCTGGCCACCTTCACTTGCAGTCATGTCAAATCGTTCACTAAATAACTCTTCCCAGAATTCCTCTTCAAAATCTTTCCCTTCACCAATCTCTTTTTGTTCTTCCACTTGCGTTCTTTTTGCTCTACCAATACCTTGCATTTCCAAAGCGAGTTCTTCAAGCTCAGACACTTGAAAATCCGAAAGATCCTCAAACTCTTCACCTTTTTTGGATGATTCTCCACTTATAACACAACTAGGCCCTTGATCGATTGGTCTTCTTCGTTTCTTGATCATGGCTTCTTCAAGTTTGTTTTTTTTGCCATGCCGGGATAGCTTTTGAAGGAAGTAGGGATTTTGCAAATCTTTTGCCAAGAAACTCATCATTTTTTGCTGCTTTTTTTCAGTTCCTAGTAGTCTGTGCTCCATTTCTTGGAGATGGGCTCTGGTGTTTTGCTGTTGTTGTCTGAGCTTCACTAATTCCATCATAAGAACTTGTTTATCGCGTTGTAAACGTTCGACTTCTCCATTTAATCCGAATCTTCCAACCTCGACACAAGTATTATTAGGTTGTTGTTGTGGAGGAGTATGAGAAGGGGCCTTTCGTCTTTTAATGTTCTTCAATATATGCCTTTGGCCCCTCAAGAACGCTTCGTTAGCAAACTCCCATATGTCAGGATCGATCTTTCTAAAACCCTGCATGCATAAATTAACCGCAATATAAATTCCTAAAGCTAATACCAAGGAAGTGTATGATTACTTGATTAGGTTTCAAGGTTTTCAGACTTGCATCAGGATTTAGGAGTCATACATATGAACTATATATCAAGCACAACAAACTAGAGTATGCATAAAGATGATACCTAAACGTATGCCTAAAAAAGTAGTGGTCTTTTACATAGTACCCAAACGTATCCCCGAAAAGATATAAAGAAATAAACTTCTATAAATCATATAACTTATATGAAGTTTTGTCCAAAATTAATTAATTAACTTTATATTAAACTTAGTGGGGTGAGTTGCTTACCAAACGCTTAATTGTATTATATAAAATACTTCTTATTGCTCATACATCTATATATGTGTATCTGGGTATGAATATGTGTTAAACGGGTGCTTCTCTTTAGGTGTTTGGCTACATGATTTTTTTTGTGGGCAAAGTTGCTAATTGATGTACATCGTATTCTTAATTTTCGTTTTTTTCACCATCTTTACACTTTGTTATTCATTGACTCATTGTATGTGGAAAGTACCTCTAAATAATAATCATTCCGTTCAAAAAAATTGTAAAAAATATCTAGTAACTAATTGCACTTTCATTTAGCACACACCCCGAAAACATGTATGGATGCATACACACAATACCAATCCGTCTGTCAACTGCATGAATAAGTGCATTATTTCCTTTCTCATAGTTGGATTAGCATCATATAACTCAAGCAAATTCAACGACAATATCAAATTCCCAACACACTACTAGTGGATCCAGAAAAAAGACAAATTTATAAGTTGACTACAAACTTAATTTATAGAAATATAGGGAGAGAATGAGTGAGTGAGAGAGAGAGAGAGAGAGAGAGAGAGAGAGAGAGAGAGAGATGAACTTACATAGGTATTGAGCTGTCTGATGAAGCTGGATAAATTATTGTGCTTGAAGTATCTTGGAAGGAGATTAGTAGAGAAAGCTTGTGGATCCCAAACCACAAAGCTTTGACCTCCTCTACTCCAAGACAAAATGCGATCTAAATCTGGGTGATCCACCATGTCATAAACTTTAGTCAAGAAAGATGGGGGTCCAGAATCATGAAGACCCTCTATTGGCTGTGGCACTTGAACCACCATCGGTTGCTTTCCGTTAGCACTTGATCCACCTGATGGGTATTCCTCCTTAATAACCGACAAGAAAGCATCCATGATTAATATATCTCTCTATAATCAACCAAACTAATTGATGGGTTGCAATCTTTTCAATCGAATCTCAAATGGGTTCATCAGATTTCAAGGTAAATCCCCAAAATGAAACCAGCCATATAAGATCCAAAAGAGAAATAATTATATACTCAACCAATATTTTTTGATGGGTCGCAATTTTTTCTGAAATCTCAAATAGGGTTTATCACGTTTTGCAGTGAAGCACAGTAAAACCAAGAATCGGAAAAGAAAAATATCAAGAAAATTCAGTGAGACAAAAGATCAAACAGATGGATTGCATGACAAAAGGATGAAAGAATCTAGCTTTAAAACTCGGATTTTGAGGATGATTGGGGTTGAAAGCAGATGAAATTTATGGAATTTGAAGGACATGAACAACATTTGAGGAAAGGTTTTGACAAGTGTCAGAAAAATCTTTATTTCGGTGCTAGGCTTTCTCCTTTGGGAAAGTCCACTTTGACAAGTTGGTGGTGTTTCCGTAATATATGACCAAATATTGGGGCAATAGTTAATTAAAATATAAGAGCGTTTTTGACCATATAGGAAGGTTCTAGACGCCATTTTGAGAACCTTCTTTAATATTTAAGTTCTTATTTTTCTTTAACTCGATTTTTTTTCCTTTCCATAATTCCAAACTGATTATTGATTAATTACTCTGACGAATATTTATCTCCAAAATGACATTTTATACAAGTGTCTAACAAACTCATTCGGGCGATTAAAAAATGGTTCAAGATCAGTTTTTGTATACTATTAAATTAAAAATATACACAACTAACTGCTTTCTGTATGAATATTTCCAGAAAGGACACAATCAGGTGTAATTAACCAACAATATGGAGATTGGAGAAGACGTAGGGCCCAATTCATACAAGTTGTAAGAAGTCTCGTATTAGGTCTAGAATTCACGGATTCATTTGGTTGATTTATGGGGCCAATGCATTTGAAATTTTTAATACTTCTTTACCCAAGATAACACCATGTTGTACTTTTTTTCTTTTTCCGGTTATGACTAATCCGTCGAGTCTTGTTCCCAAATAGAACTGGAGAAGAGAAATGAAATAAAAAAAAACTGGAAAGAAAATAAAAGTTATCTATTATTTTTTTGGAAGGAATGTTAGAGACGAAAAAAAAAGACACAACTGCAAATTTGGTCCTTGTGGTTTGTAAAAAATCTTTGGATAGGATTCAAAATCTTTTCGACTTGCATGAATAGTCCAAAATCAGAAATTTCCCGTGGATTTGGTCTTCTCATATACCTTTTTTATGGTTTTTTTTAATTTCTTTTCCTTTTCCTTTTTGTATATTTATATTAATCCCTTCTCTCTCTCTCTCTCTCACACACACAAACACACACAAATGTCGTTTGCTTCTGCAGGATTCCATGGAAGAGTTCCAGTTTTATTGTCGACAGTTTCTTCAACATCGATCTACAATGAAAACTCATCATCACAATGGAGATTTTCTGATGATGACCTGTATGAGTATGAGCAGTTCATGTGAAAATGCTACCTCGTCGACTCAATTCTCTTCTAGAATTAGTACTCCACTAACCCTCTTGGTGATTCCTTACAAAGGGTATCATATTGTTTTGCAATAGTGCTAAAATCAAGACTCACCCATCTTTACTGATAAGAACACTAGCTTCAACAAAACTCATTCGGAGGGGATTCAGGTCTGAACATCGGTGTGGATGAATGGAGGTTAGCAAGAAATCAACCAACACCGTTTTCGATACCCCAAATCAGAACTAATAGCATCACTGCCTCTTCTTTCTCCATTCAATCAGTATGGATGAATGGAGGTCGCCACCCCCCCATGCAACTTCGTTCACAACAACCACACCACTCTCTTCGTCGTTATAACAACCTCTGTCGTTGACAACGAATCAACTGTTCTTGGCTAACCAACTGCTACCAATGAACCAACCATTCACGAAAAATACACTGCTCACCTTCCCGTTTCAACCTCAAAGTTTCTACAGACCGACTCTGGCGCCTTTTTCAGCATACAACAATATGTTAGTACAACCGTATCTCGCTACCCAACAGTTCCACCCTAGTCACATCCTCCAGATCCCAAACCAAGACTGCTTGTCAAGAAGTGTAACATCACTCTTTGCAAAAGAACTTTTAGACTATGAAATACTGAATACTGCAATGTTGCCACACCTTAAGACTTACAATGGAACTACAGACCCAGATAGCCATATTGACACGTATGAGTGGATGATGACCTCCCTAAAGCTAGACAAACGGTTTTGGTGCATTTACTTCCCAACAACACTAGATGGAAACACAAGAACGTGGTTTAAAACTCTCTGTCCAGGAAGCATTTACAACTTTGGCCAACTGAAGTATCTCTTCCTAAGAAACTTCATGCAATCGTGGAAGTACAAAGGGGACTCCCACTCCATTATTGGTTGTAAACAGAAGGTGGAAGAGACGGTAAGAGAATATTTCGCGAGATTCACCAACACTACCTTAGACGTCCCATGACACGATGAAGGGATAATAGCAAGAGCTTTCATGTGGGGCCTCCTTCCCGGTCCATTGTCCCAGAAGCTCATGGGAAAGAAACTCCAGACGTGAACTGAGTTGAAAGAGAAGGTAGAATGTTACCTAATACAAGAAGAAGGAGAGGCGGCAAAACAAGCATACCTCAACGCCATGATCGCCTCGACCACGAAATACTACTACCAGTCTACCCACCACCAAGAGAGCCAGGGTGGAAGCATAAACTTTGGGTGAGCGAGGAACCCTCAGGGGCGTTTCAGACCATTCCTACAGGACGAAAGAAGAGGGTGGCGACCGGACATCTATGTCTTCGCCGATAGGAAAGCGGTAAATGGGGTGAAGGGACGCTATTACGAATACCATAAAATCAAGACCCATGATATTGTCAACTGCTCGGTGCTAAAGCGAGAAATGGAAAAAAAACAACTAAAATGTAACTTGATAGAGATAGTGCGAAGCCTCCGCGCCAAATTTGACGCGGAGAACACCATGGATGGAATGAAAGTGAATGACCGGCCCCATGAAATTTTGACCATACGAGCAAAAAGAGAAAGGTCGGAGAGCGACGACAGAGTAGTTCACATAACAAGATCCACGTAAGGCTTAACTTTCTCAACGATGGACTCACACCCTATAGGGTGGCAAGGGGATAACCCGCTGATAATCTAAGGATCCATAAGAAATACCATCATCCATCGTGTGTATGTAGACAATGGCAACTCAGCGGACATCATGTACGAACATCGTTTCTGTCTCCTTCCGGACAGACGGAAGGATGGGTCTTAAGCCCGCAACGGGACAGCTAACAGGATTTATAGGGCACAACCTGTGGCCCCTAAGCATGATACACTTACCGTTCACACCAAGCTTCTAAAAGGTGTGAGGCATGGCATGGTGGCAACGCCAAGCCTTTCAAGGCGGCAATTTTGTACTAATTTATAATCATATTACCATATAGATATAGATTTATATCGAATATAACTAGTTTTTAGAAGTGTTATATCAACAACTAATAACAAAAAGTTAACAAAAAACACAATACTTGTATGTCCGATTAGAAAAGGCATAAAAAAGAGCAAAAAATGTGTCTTAAACAAAAAAACGCGCGCCATAACACGCCACGACACGCCATATCATGCCTTGTCATGCGCAACGCCTAACAGCAACGTTATGAGGCTTTTCGTAACGGTGAAGTCGCGCCTCACGCCATGGCACGCCTTGGCGTGCGCCATGGGGCGCCTTTTAGAACACTGTTTCACACTAACCAGTCACGACAAACTAAGGCGGAAGATGGCTCTCATTGATTTCGTCATCATATGATACCCAGCGGAACACAACATCATACTGGGACGAACAACCCTATTCAGGTTCGGAGCAATATGGTCCACCATACACGGAATAGTAAAATTCGACACGACAAAAGGGCCAGGGACAATCTTAGCCACACCACCACAAGAATTACGATGCTGCGAGATCATGCAACCGAAGGAAATCACAAAAGAAGCCAGGAAGCCACGATCAGTATTGCCCAGCAGCAGAGTGGTCATCAACGCAGAGTACCCAGACCAGCCAGTCAGCATAGGTATCAACCTTTCCCCGGCAACGAGACAGGAGTTAATTAACTTGTTGAGAAAATTTAAGCATGTCTCGCTTGGACGCCTACATACATGGTAGAGGTGAATAGAGAAATCATAGAGCACAAGCTAATGATAAGGCCTGGGACCAAGGAGGTGAAACAAAAGAAGTGTGTCCAATGAGGAACAGGAACAGAGCGATCAATGCCGAAGTAGCCAAGCTGACTAGGGCAGGAATACTCCGCGAAGCGATATTACCAACATGGATCGCGAACTCGGTCATGGTCAAGAAGCACGATGGCACATGGCGTATGTGTATTGATTACGCCGATTTAAACAAATCCTGCCCCAAGGATTGCTAACCCCTACCAGAGATCAACCAAAAGGTGGAGTCCCTGCAAGGGTTCAAACTGAAATGCTTCCTAGACGCGTATAAGGGATACCACCAAATCCTGATGAGCAAGGAAGACGAGGAGAAGACCGATTTTTTACATAGATCATGGCGCGTTATGCTACTAGAAAATGCCATTCGGTTAAAAAAAACGCAAGGATACTCTATCAACGACTCGTCGACTCGTTTGCAAAGAAAATCGCCAGGAACATAAAGGTATACATAGATGACATGGTCGTCAAAAGCCCAGGTGAAGAAAGGCTGTTGGAAGACGTGGAAGAGACGCTCAAGACTCTAGAAAAGGTCAGAATGAAACTAAACTTGGAGATGTGCACCTTTGGAGTGGAGGAGGGGCAATTCTTGGGGTACTATGTCACCTAGGAGGGGATCCATCCTAGCCCATTCAAGGTGGATGAGTTGATGAAGGCATCATCCCCACACACCTTGAGAGACGCCCAAGGCTTGAATGGAAAGTTGACCGCCTTAGCCAGTTCATCTCCAAGTCAGCGGAGAAAGCCATGCCACTTTTTCAAACACTCAAGGGGTGCATTGAGAAAAGCAACTTCCAGTGGACACCAGTAGCAAAGGCAACCTGTAACGCCCGTGTTTCTAGGCTAGGCATTAATATTTATGTAATAGTCTAGGTTAACCTTTGTAACTCATTTTGAAATAATAGAAATGTATTATTTGAGTATTATGTGTTTTATGCTTAATTGTATGGCTTAAATGAATTATGAATAAAAAATAAGCATAATAATAAAATATTAGATAAGCCCAATATCTATGAAGGAAGTTGTAGTGGTCGTGACAAGGGTTTCGGATATATAAAGAATGCCGAAATCCGAGTTATAACGAAGAAGTTATGACATGTCGAAGTTTCGCGACAGAACCGGTACAACATTGCGTGACGTAAATAGTGAATTTACGATAGAGCGATATCTAGCCTTAGTGATCTAAACGAAA